CTTCCCTGTTTATAGCCTACGTACGGGAGGCGTCCCATCGAAGTTCTTCAGAGTACCACGCATCCGCATCTCGCGTACGATAATTGATTGATTGCACATAAATTAAGCAACAGGTTCTCAGCGGAAACGTGTGCTGCGAGATGTCATCATTCTAGCAAGGAGCCTGCCTACGAATGCGATCTTGTATCTTGTAAGTATCTTGTAAGTGTAAGCATCTTGTGAGGACCACTTTGTTTGGTAAAGCATCGGTATGTACATGCTGCCCAGGGGACGCACGCGGGCACATGCTGGAAAGTAGTAAGTGGAATAAATCACACATGCTTGTGTGACGGCAAATAATAGATTATGCAAGTAAGAAGCTACCGCTGGCTGTTTGAAATGGAAAGCTGCAGATCACGACCAGGCATGAAGCTCCTTAGAAATCTCCTTAAAGGGAAGGCGAGGGAAATTTCAGGCCTTCTCTGAACTTCGATAATTTGCAACGACTTTCTGCGAAATCGTTCAGCATCTATTGTAAATCTCGCGGCTCAGGGAGGCCAAAACTCCTATGCCCCCCCCCCCCGCCCCCCGTCTTGGTGGGGCGTCCTTGATCATGACCGAACCTTTTCAGTTATCCTCTGTTGGCTCTTAACATGGCCGCTTTCATAAATATAAAATGTTTGCAATGAAGCAAGCAGTGACGTCCTTGTCATCTGTGTTGCGCCGATTCCTTTGTCATTGACGCGCATATGTCACCACGCTCCTGACGTTAGCGCGTCCATGTTTGCAGGTTTCGGATCCAAGCGACCAATGACAAGGGTCCGAGCGGCTGGAGCGACCCCAGCGACTCCGTCAAAACACACCCGGCCGGTGAGTGATAGCGCCTCGTCTGGTCACAGCGTCGCAGTCTCCGCCGCCTTTGTTGCGCGTCCCGTGATAACAGAATATGGACAGTGACGTGATCTAGCTAGACCGGCCGTTGCGACCTTCCGTAAACACCTCGGCTAGCGTTGGGAGATGCATGGGGGAGGATTGATTCATGGGATGTGAGGTTGTAGTTTCGACGTGTACACTGTGGGGCAAGCGAGGAACACCCCAGATTGTGGGCCACATGTTTCGGATCGGAGATGCCTGGCGGACGTGGTGGGTACTTGAACAATAATGCATGTTGGGTGTTTGGGTGCAGAAAGTATTATTCCGAATATTATATCATTATTTCTTATATTATTATGTATTATTGTTACATATATTATATGTTGATTTTATATTACATTATTTAATATATGATATTATTATTATATTTTATATGATATTATTATGATTATGCATTGTTTGGGTATCCAGAATTTCCGTGTCGATCGGGTGCAGCACAAGTTTCTGAGTTGTCTACTTACTCACACATGCTCCGGACTCACAGCTCTCCTTATGTCAGCTTTCTGTTTCATTACCAAATCCCACCCCTAGCAGCACGACTTACCCTCTTTGAGAAACATCTTCCGAGGTAAACTGGACTCTCAGATCTTGCTGAGCTGTTTCCCGTTGCTTGTGCCGCCTCGATCGACCCGCACCCGAACTCTGCTCGCTGTATCTGGCGCTTGTGTGCAGACTGTACTGAGTGGTCTGTTTTGCAGACTGTCATGCGTTGGAAACGCTCTTTTAGCTAGCAGAGCTAGCGCGAATATCTTTCATGACAAGCATCCTCACCCAGCTTTGAGATATGTAATCCTTTAATTTTGTTCCTTCTTCCGTTTGCCTTGTATTTATTGTATTTTATTGTAACGACTTCGCATGTCAGTGGAGTGCAGCTTTGTTGGTGATGACTGAAATTAAACGAGTAAACAAATTATATTTGAATATGATACTATTATTAAGATAGTATTGTTCATCTTATGACTTCTCTTGAGCGAGTTATGGTAAAAGCGTTTTAAAAGCAAAGTTGAGGATTTCTACATGGGTTAAGCAAGTTGCGCAGAACAGCCTAACCAAATAGAATCGCGCTCCGGACGGACAGGAAAAGTTAAGGCACAGTCACTTCCCTTGTGGTTTTGGGGAGGGCGTGCTTTGCACGCACACGCTCCGACTTATGAGCATATTGTACAGTCCTACCTTGTGCGCACGCACCCTTCCAGCGCCTTAACGCCACCAGCGTTCCAGTGCAGCTGTTCAGAACGTGAAAAACGGGATCTAGTGGTCGTACATCACACCTCCATTCCAACACGCAATGGACATGGACTCAAACGGGATCTAGTGGTCGTACATCACACCTCCATTCCAACACGTATTCGCCTCGGGTGCGGCTAGGTCAGGCCGCTTCATTTCCGCCCAACCTGCGCGGACGCTTCGCGCGACAGGCAATAACGTCGCTATCGGTAGAGGTAAAAGCTGCTTATTAATCATTTTTGTTCCATACTGAGGTCTCCGGACAGCTCACCGAACACCGTGCTCCTTGAAGTTTCAGCAAACTGGACAGACTGGCGTCAGATCGAGGCACGACTAGTGGTGCACGCAACGTTTAAAGCCGTCTGGCAGCTTGCGGCGTCGAGAATATGCCAATAACGTCGATCGCCGTAGTTGGCAGGCCTGGGCAGGCCGGCAATTTTCCCGCTCCGCAAATGCACCTTGGCCGCAGCTCTGGTCGACCCCGGTGACCCGGCGGTGGCGTCGGTGACCTCTTCGCGTCTGGCGCTCGCTGGCGGCTCTTTGAACTCGGATTGTTTCTGGCGCCGGGTGCCACGCGCGCCTCGACTTGCTGACTAGGTGGTGGGGAGGGGAGGGGTGAAGGGTGGCGTAATTGGACATATTCTTCGAAGCTGGGATCTAGTGATCGCGGCCCTGCGCTCCGTCTCCAGAGAGGACGCATGGACAACGGCAGCACACGGATGTCTGCTGGAGTATATGCACGTACCCCAGGGAGGGCGCCTGAATGAACGTCGCATTGAAGGAAGTGTTCTACATTGTAGGGGGTTCTGAACGGAAATGGCCATCTTGAAGATCATTCGATGCACTTAACAGCCCTGTCCTTCTTTAGATATAAACTCCTCAGGTTTCTTAGTTACACGCCTGAGAAGGTGTGCAGACTTTTCCGAGATTATTTCAAGACCACCCGGGCATCCATGACGCCATACAACTTCATTCAAATCCTGCTATTCCCTTGGCCAGGCGGCGATCAAGAAAAAGAAAACGATTATTGCCGGGTTGTCCATATCGGGCGTTTGTGAGCGCGATTTCCGGATATAACGGCCACTAATTGCCTCTCAATCTGTGTTGTGCATGTTGCGATGACGGAATGAAACAGTGACGTATCGAGGAGCATAATTACTAAACAGAGAGGCACTGCGATTATATATACCAATAGCTATAAGTGAGCCTATTTCATGACATATGATGTCTGCTACAAAATCTTCAAATGTGGAACATCATCTTTAACGCCAAATACGGCTGGCCCACGACATGATGCGGCCAGGAAGCAGAACCAACACACTCATTGCTTAGGGATCGAAATCGAAACATGACGTCGTCCGACTAACAATGCTTTAAGTAGCGACATAAAAGTTGAATGTCGTGTGCCCAAAGTGTGATCAATCTTGAGGACACGTGGTCGAGGGGTTAAATGGACGCAGCCGTAAATCAGGCCGGAAACCCGATCTAAATGCACTGATCAGCTGACTTGCAAGAGGTGTCATTGATCTTTGGATTACGAAACTGCAGCTTCGCAGCATCCGCCGTTTATGAAATGTTGTGAGGAGGTATGCACAAATGCATTACACTCCGCATGGGCATGCTGCACGCACTTTTAAAATCACAACCCGGCCGCACGTAACCCAGCCGCAAACACCCGACTTCGTCCTCTCCCGGCTGGCGAACATATATTGGTGCTTTCCGGAGGTACGCACATGCGCCAACGGGCGTCCATTGTATGTGCCTGCCCACCTACCTCGCGAAAGGGATATATAAAAGTCCATATAGCGGTCGTCAGCGGGGTGCCGTTGTGCAGATGTGCAGGCCCCTGACTTCTCCGCCAGCGACGCCGTCCATCCAACCCCGAAGAAAGGTCCCTGCGGCGGGATTAGGACTCGGTGACGGAGGCCTCGCACGATGACCACGTTATTGACCAGCAAGCATTTACCCAGATCCTTTATTCCATAGCCTAGAAAGGACTAGTATCGGCCGACAGACTTCTAAGTCAAACCAAACCGGACCAAAAGGGGTTAACACTTCTTTGAACGCATGCTAGTTAGTGACTGAGTTTTAAGGGGGCATCAGCTGCATTGGCCATGTACGCCCGTGTCTTATTTTTAAGAACCTACGTCAACAGAACTATAATCATAACTATGCCAGCAGATTGTCATTAATGTCTTCGTCACTAGAAGGCTCATTCCGGGCGTGCGTGAAGCCCCTGGTGCTTTTGCCACTGCGCAAGTAAACGATTCAGCACCCGAAATCACGACGCGTCTGCGCTGTCAAGGCCATTAGCATGGCTGAAAAGCAACCAGGTAGCCCATCACTAACGTCCCTGGGGGCTAGTGCTGGTGTGTACCCGTGAGCAGCCCTGCACCTACAGCCTTTGCCGCCTTGCCTCCCAGCCCGGCTCCTCTGCAGCCCATATTATCGACCTGAGCTGGACCCGCCGGCGCGTCAGCCCACACATCGGAGGCGTACCGCGATGTTGTCGCAGAACTCCATCCCCGACAGACTCCGTTCTTCCACCGAGTATGGCTTCCGATGGGGCCGTTTACAAAAAGTGGCCGTTTTACGAAAGTGGCCTTCCCAAGTGGCCGTTTTACGAAAAGCTTGGAAGCTAGTGCGGGAAGGGCGGGTTTAACGACTGTTGGCGGCTGTCGGAATTGGGGAGGTGACGCCGACAACGGTGTAACATGCTTGTATGGCCTGCCGGTGATGTCTCAGTTGACCATAATGAGAATTGAACGAAGCTCGCTCCTCGAATGTCCTGCCTGTGCGCGTGAATGATCACCAAGGTCGGCGGATAAGTGTGTGGGGGGATGGGGAGGGGTAGCCTCCCT